ACCACCTAACGCAGACTCGCAAGGATTTCGTACCCGAGGTGAGACTAGAATGAGAGCTAGAAATGACTTCTAGAAAAGCATGACCCCCTCGCATCCCAATCGGAGTCCAATTCGATCGAAGCTCGCGGGGAGTTCCCGAATTCGAATTATCGATTCGCTCAGGGTTTCAACCTGAGCGTTTCGAGCGGTCTTGTCGGAAAGCCGAACTTTCTTCTATCGCGTCACTCAGTGAGCAAAGAGCACCTTATGTAGCCCGTGGATCGACAAGCTCCACGAGGCTCTACCTTACGCAGCTGTCCCGCATGGCCGCGGCCCAGAACGGAGGGAGGGTCAATCATCACGCAGCTGCTGTTGCTCCGATTGCTGATTTCACCGCTTTTGACGAGTCTGTGCATATGAGCCTGGAGCTTGGACACTGAATCTTGTGACGGAGATATACCGGCCCGCCAATTCTAAAGTTGCTAGGGGGTGTGCTGGCGTCTTTCTCGCAATCAGCGAAGATGCAGACCGAGAACTCTTCTGGCATTTGACGGCTCCAAGGAAGAGATGGCGCATCGTCTGTTCCCCTCGTCGAGGGAGTTGTCGATAGGACACAAGCCATGGCCAAGCAACCGATTGGAAAGTCGTATCTGGAGCTAGCAGGGATGCAGACACGCCTCGCGTTCGACTTTACGATACAGGGAAGTGGTCGGCCATTGCTTGCTGCGTCGGTCGCTGGGCGGCCGTACGGAACAACCGACCGACCAATGGTCCAGAGCAAAAGGCATTGCGCGTTAGCTGAAGGAGTTCGCGGAGCTCGCTGTGTAAAATATGTGTTTATGTTAGGGCGAGAGGCTGAGTTTACTGCCAACTTCTTTCGGCCAGCGCTTCTCGAAGTCTAAAACTTCGCACGGCGGCAGTCGAAGCGATGAACACTAGGGGCTCGGAACATTCCCCTATCCATGGCTCGTCAGAGGCCTTTTGCTCGATGCCGCCACCGCTGAAACGTCGAGGGAAGCCCGCGCATATTTATGACGTGAGAGAAAACGAAGAAGAACACGAACGCGAGGAGCGAAGCCGCCTGTTTGCCAACCCCTACCAAGTCAGTGAGTGAGCGAGTGGCTGGCTGGCTGGTTGCTCGGCCGGCCGCTTAGTCGACAGCCGGGGACGCATAAGAGGAAACACAAGCAAGCAGGCCGACGGACAAGCGGAGCTCGTCGGCAGCGTCAACGTCGAGCTCGCTCTAGTTCAAAGGCTCTTCCGTTCCGTTCGCTTAGGAGGCTCTACGACAGTGTTCCCCAAATTTTCCTTCTAAAGCATTTCAATTTTCCTTCTGAAGCCCCTCTCTATCTCTGGAGAAATGATTCTGAGTTCTCTAATGGGTCTGTCCTCATTCTCGTTGCTTCTCATGACGAGCAAATTAGGCTTCCCTCTCCCCCATCACCGACGATAGACGCCCCTCCCATTCTGACGGTTAAATACACTGATTGAGCCATAAGGGATGTCCACCCAGTAGCCACTGGAGGCAGCGATATTGCAATAGGTGATGGCATGGACGCTATCCCTGGGCACTTAATCACGACGTATATCCTATGAGGGGGGTGATGCCGACTCTGGTCGGAGTCGAGCTCTGGAGTTCCGTATTACCCGAAAGCCGAGAGTTTTCGACCCGAATCAAGATTTGACAATGGAAGCCCACCAACAGGAGGCGAGCTTTCCGATAGGGCTAATGGAATGGCACCGGGCCTTACTGTCTGTGACAGCAAGATCGTCAGAAATCGCCATCGACAAGCAAAGGCGTCCGCAACATTTTTACGGAGGGGGGCTAGTTGGGTCTTTGCATGGGGCTCATGACCAACATGACGACTCGCTCTTGAACCTCAGTATTACGAAAGAACAATCTGGGAGCGACAAGGCATCATTTTCAAATAGAGGGGAGGGAACGACGGAGAGGGATTTTCTTCTTGCTCTCAGAAACTCCTTCCTGTGGAGTCATTCATCCTTCGTTGGAGTTCGTAGTGCACAGAGGCTGAAAGGAGACTCGGTCTCGATGAGCACACAGAAAGAAAACGCTGATATGAGTCGCTTACCGGAACTGGCGCTAGGAGGTTCTTGACTTGAATGGCGATTTCTTTGCGAGTTCCGTGAGGAATCAGAAGCCTTTCATCGAGGTTGAATGAAGGGCAGTGCTGACGCCCTTTGATCAAAGACACTTCGTCACTCTGCAATCGATCGCACGTTGAAATTAGCTTGGGGACGTTCCGTACGGAATCCCATCGCCGCTGCTTGCGGAAGTACTAGCGTCTGCTGTGCTCATCATTATCCCCAGGACAAGATCCGCCGTTCATGATATACGGATCATATTCATCAGCTGATCATTTTCCTCGGTGCTGTACGTACCGACTCTCCAATAATTTTCCTCTGAGAACAATGACTTGTGTTCGACGAGCAGGTGTTCTCCGCGATACACCAACTGCATGACCACTGAGACATGACGCAGCTCTTGCACCTGGAATTGATGAAGGAGGCTAGAACCGAGGGCCCAATACCGGCACGGGATATCCGTATTTCCGACAGGAGGAGCTGTCGCTCCCCCCGAATCCCCCCGAACGTAAGAGGAGTGCATCGATTCGCAACATGCTACACCGACGCGGGCATTCTTGAATTCCCAGCTTATGAATCAACATACGTTCGGTGGACGAGACATTGGAAGAGCGTAAGGTCTTTCTCGATGAGATTCGTTTCACTCTGCGTTGTGCGAACCGACACCGTCATCGTTACGTGATCTGCAATTGAAATCTGTTTGTTTCGAAAGTATCGGTCACAGATGTGGAAACGGAAGCATCGGGAACAACTGAGAGGAAAATACCTTTTCCGGAGGGAATCGTCGGCCGATCGTCCGGGCTCGGAGCAGTACATTCGAGACCTTTCGTGTTGACACTCGCAGGTACTTTCACCCTTCCGTCGAAAACGCAGAGATACTGTGTTCCATAAGGCAGGTGCGGCAGCTGTTGAATGATCAGATCCAACTGCAAGGGAAACAAGGCGATCTCAGGGGACGCTCCTTTCTGGCTCAGCCTACCCTAACAAGGGAAAAAGTTTCCCTGTAGAGTAGAAACTCCCTGAGAGAAGGACAATTTTCTGGGAGAAAAGCATCTTCCTCGATAGCTCGACGAATCGTCTCGTTCCCCCGAGCAGGTCACGATGAGAATTGTTTTTGAATGGCTCGGGGAACAGCCCCTCGAGTCCCGCAACGCGGGAAAGGGAGAAAGACGCATCGGAAAAAATCCCACGCACGCGGTTGCCTTCGTGGCGCCTGCCCGAACATAGGCAGACGTCACTACAGACGATTAGCGAGGGCCAAGCACGACCAACAAGGGAAGCGATAAGAAAAGGAAACAGGACTGGGGATGCTTCACCGACCTCCTCCAGATAGGCTCCAACAATCCCAGTAGTTTTCGGTGCCTTCGAGGTCAGCGGAGGAAGAGTCGTCATCCCCCCGCTGATTGCGGCGTTTGAAACGGAGTGAGCGAACTTGCCGACCAGCATACAATCTGACGCTAGAATCGACTCGTCCCAAGTTTCTCTCTGCCTCCTGCCCGCCTGCGTGCTAACTAGACCATGAGCTACAGACAAAGCAAATTCTTGCTGCATTTGAGTTCAACAGCGAGTCAGGTGGGTGTGCGTTTTGCCAAGAGAAACGAACCGTGTTCGAAAAGTTGTCAGATTTTCCACTTGGAAGAGTGCAATCCTTCTTGCCTCCCTCTTCCGCACCCTTACCGCAGCTACCGACGGCACCGGCTCCGACCCTATTTTGTTGGGAAAGGAAAGTTTTCCTCGGCGTGCACAGCATCGCTGTGACCAGCACCGGGAAGTTGCTTTGTTTCTGGGTGTTCCTATTCACCGAGTGCTGGCGAAGGGATTCTGACACGCGTCTCCTTTCACCCGGTCTCCCTAGAAGGATTCGACACGCTTTCCTCAGATAAGGGATCGAGCTCCTGATCGAGCACTGACGGCCTCCAGTTCAGAGGCGTCCGAGGAGAATCGCGAAAATGTGGTGGAAATCAAAGACGGAAATCGGAGCGTCTGCATCGCGATTATTGAATCGTCAAACATCCCGTCGAGCGGTCCGAGCCCTGCCATTGGATCGATTACGGCAGGCGGGTCTGAGCACCGCCTGGAAACTTGAATGACCCCCGACCCCTCCGCCGAGATCTCTGGCTAGACACGAGATCCGAGTCGTCGGGGATCGCTTAGCTCTTCGCCGTTTCCCTCCTCTTAGTCGTCTCATCCTTGGCTGGAGTAAAGGAGGGATTATTCCTCAACGTCGTCGTCGCCGACCAAGAAGACGACGCAACGAGGGCCTTAAGACCAAAGGACGACTGAGCAAACTCGGTCGCGATGGCAGGCGCTCCAAAAAGCAGTCGAGCCGCCTTTTGGCGGCCTTGAGAATTTCAAAGCTCGCCGTAGGGGAAGAAAAAGTCGCTTTGCTTCACATGCGCAGGGTGAGTTTTGGAAGAAGAAGCAGGCAGCATCTTTCGTAGTCTGTCGTCACCGTTCTGCTGCATAAATATCTTGTGAATGCAGGCGTACAGACAGTCAGTTCGGCCGTCCGTCTCTTTCTTTCCCGTCGGAGTCTCCTAGCCACTCAGTCGAGACAGCGCAGGGCCGTCGTCGAAGGTTCCGACTCCGCCGTGGAGCCGTTCTTTCGAGTTTATGTAAGCCGCGCGCCAAGCCCTGAGACGACGTCGACGACGACGATGCCGGCCGAGCAGCTCCAGTGAACCAATGAGGTCCCTGAGGTGCCATTAGAGAACGATATATCAATAGCGCAACGCACGAGTCATTGTCGTTGTTGTCCACGTAGACACGTGTACGTGTAGGATACGGGACGACTCCGACTCTCGTCATCCCTGGCAACGCGGCCTTCGCGGTGCGAAGGGCGCCCCTCGCTTGTACATACAACCGCTACAGAAGGCGAAATCGTCTCAAAAACTACAGACGGAAGACCGGAGAGTTCTCTTTCTCGGTTTCGTGCTCGCTACGAGTCGCCCTGCTCCGAAGTCCTAGGCTTCTTCGTCCAATAGGCCTTAGCGGAAGGTCCTGGAGCGAAGTCCCCGGAGTCTCGTAAAACCTTTTTTCGGTCGACGCCGACGTTGGCCTCCGGGGACCACTCGACGAAACAAAAAAAAAAGGAAAGACGTCCGGGGCGGTTGGGAGGGGCTCGAGCTGAAGAAGTACAGAGAGAGGGAGGAAGAAAACGGGGAAACTGGTAGACAGAAAGAAAGCCGGTCGAATCGGCGAACACCGTCGAAGATACGGGCGAACACTGCCATCGACGAATACGGCGGCGCGTCCGAGCGACTCCTGCATCCGTTTCCGGGGAGACGCGACGATGCGATCCCGTCAACACTTGCAGAACTTCGACTCGGATCAACGTTCGCGGCTCGGGGGAATCCGAAGAGGACTTCTCAGCTGATGGACAAGTAGCGGTACATGTACTTTGCGTGAATTTCCGGAAATCAGTTCCTTCAACGGGGAATGTCGATCGGATCGATTGAGTGAATAACAACGTTGGGATGGTCCGACCCATTTTGCGGTCCCCCTAATCGTTCAACGACGACTTTCCGCAGTCCGCATCGTCATCGCATCGTACTCTCCTCCAGGAATGTAGTGGGAGAAGGGAAGAAGAAAAAGCCCAAGAACCGAAACGAGGACGATGCAGCGGCGGCCGTGGAGGAGAGCGCATCGATTATCTTTTAAAAGTATCCGATTTCGATACAATGGAGGAAGCCCATCCGCTGCCACCCGAGCCTGATTCGCCAGTCAGCCAGACCATCCGTCCGCAAGTCCGACCATGGGCACCACAGTTGCACCATCGCTCGGCAGCGAGCTGTTTCTTCTTCCTGCTCCACATTCATGCTCGGATGAACTCTCTGTTCCGTTCGCCTTTTTATCATCGTTTCTGTCGGAGCGGGGGACCGGGCTTGGCGACAGACGACAACTGATCCCTGCTACCATCGGAGCAGTACAGGGTCCGGGTCTAGACTAGATTACTAAGCGGAGAAGAGGAAACCAAGACGAAGCGTGCGGAACAAGTTCCGAGGCCAACAACAGATAAATCTCGTACTCGGAAGAATGTGGACGTTTTTTTTCCGGGCAGAATCAGAGAGAGCATGTTCCGCGCAGACTGCGCGAACAAGGTCGAACAAGCTTGTTTTGATAGTGTGTTCTAGGTCTGTGGAAACTGCGAGCTCTGGATTTTCAAGCAGCAGCGACCGTCGCGCGGGCCTGTTTGGAGGAATTTCCTGCAGCATGAATTCTCATGAATATTATGAGGAGCACCGAATCAGCTTGGAGCAAAGCCGACTTGGGAACATCAGGCCCGAGAGCAACCGGTAATCAAGCAAGGAGAAGACAGGTACTGATGACCTGAATATCCATCCGTCCGGCAGCTGTGCCGAGCGAACGTATCTAAATAACGTCGTCGGGTATCATTTCCTGAGTACTTGGTCGACCCGCCGCACGACTGGCTGGGACCGGGGGAACTACCGGCTAACGCACGGCGGTTCTCGTCCCTTCCGCGAGACGCATAATAATTGTTCCGCTGCTCTCAACGTCAGGGGGAACCCTTACAGGAACCGTTATCCGTGTGTATGTACTACATGCAGTGTGCCGTCCGATCGTCAGTTTCGAGTCATCCAACGCTCGTGTAGCAGAAAATCAGTGATGCCGTTCGGAGGAATACGAGATTATCGTTCCGCATGGTGAGAATCCCCACCGATCGAGCTCATGACTTCAGAATCGGCCGCTTGCCGGCTCGACGGAACTCGTGCCGTCTCGGACTCGAGCCGGATGACGGGCGGAATATCACGTCAAAGCATCGACGCGAGTATACATACAAGTCCAGATCGAGTCGTCTCTCAGCTGACGGCGTCCTATCGCTCCCGATTCTGGCGGGTCCCCGATCACGTGCGTCGGGGAATCTCTTCTGCCCTGTTAGTTCCACTCCTGAACAGGAAAGCGAGTCAGATCTAGTGGAATCGCTTCCTGTATCCGATGACGTGGTTTGCATGTGTCTCCGTCGAGAGAAGCAACGAACTTCGCTTTTAGCGTGGCCGGGAGAAATCACGATGCATCGCCGACAGGATCAAAAGACTTTGCGGTTGCAATTATGAACCCTTGCCCAGCATACATGCAATTCCGTCGTGTTTTGGGATTTGCCTCTCCGCGTTCAGAGAGGAAGGCTTTCCACAGACCCCGCCCGGGGTTCATCCGAGAGCATGATTCCCGATCACTGCGGGAATGTTCACCGCCGGTGGTCGTAGACGGAGGAGACGACGACATTGGGTGGCTACATTACTTGCGACAGAATCCTCGTGGTTTTGATGATCTCTTGGATTTTTTGAGATTTTAGGCCCTTGCTGGCTTCGAACGAGCTCCGAGTACGATGGAGAACTTCTCCTCCATTAATCCAGAGCGCGTGTTCCAAGCCAAATACTACAATTGTGGCCCTTCGTGGCAATCACTCTCGATACACGACAGGTTGTATCTTACGAGACGACACCCGATATCGGATTCGGGACCTCTTTCCTTCTATGTGGATCGGAGTGCATTTCCTCGTAAATCTCACCGTGGACGTGTATCGGGGAGCTCTGAGCAAACCTGTATTTGACTACAGCTGACTTTCTTCTCCTTTGAAAAAGTTTCAGCGGTTGTTCTGCTGGGCTGACTTTTCTCGGGAGTCTCTTCCCTTTCAGTTGATTGGCAAACTTCGGGCGAGCTCATCTGCTGATCCCATTGCTCGCATTCTCCAAAGTAAACGGAGCTCGGGGACACGCTCACACAGTCAATGTCGAAGAGAAATTCTCCGAATTCTGAGCCCCTTCGTAGCGACTTTCCGCTGCGGAATCAGAGCAATGGATCACTCAGAACGATTAGCGCATAAATAGCCGAAGCGAAGGCAGCTCGAGGCCAGTAGCCGTTTCCGCTTTCGTTCGTGGTGAAGAAATCAATCGCGATCGACGACCGATTCACGACATTCCCAGTGGAGTCGAGAATCAAGAGGAAGTTTCCGTGGCTATCGCAATAGCTCCAGATGTTATCTGATACGATCGATGATGGTGACATTTTCGGACCGGATCCGGGATCTCATTACCTCGCACTCGAGTCAATGCAAGTGCATGACTCTCCGTTCATCCATATATGGAACACTACAGATACTAGCGAGGACTCTCCGCATGCGTGGGCGATTAGCTCAAAAGAATTTTTTCCCACTCGCAGATAGTGTTCCTCCCAAGAGCTGTTTCTGCATGGACCGAGTGAGAGCCTCGCTTCAGTGTAGCGCCTCCAAATGCGAAAGGGAGGTCTCGGGTATCGCGCTATTCGCCGGGACCGACGTTCGACGGAAACGGAAGCAGAAAAAAACTCATTTGAGCCGGATACTATGGCGTTCAGCCGTGGTACGCGCTTTTGCCAATCTCCCGACTCTAGCCCCGATGACACGAACGATACACCCAGACGCGCTCGCCAGGTTTCTCGTTGATGCCACTAAATACTTTGTAGCGTGAACGCCGCCGACGCGATTACCTGCCTTCGATCATATGAGGAAAATTCCAACCTTAGGCTTCCGAAAGATACAGAGAACTCATCTCCTCACCTTGGCATGCTGCGTGATGGCGATCTGAGGTGGCACTATCGCATCGAAATGGAGGCATTGATCTTCTCCGAAAGTCAACCACCTGGAAGCCCCCGTGGTGACTCCGCATTCCCGTCGAGATCCGCATCTGGAAGGAAAATCGTGCCAGCGTGAGAATTCTGTGGAGCCTTCCGTGACGTACATAGGACGTTTTAGTGTACATCGCTGGTTCCGTGTTTTCTGTCTTTATTTCGGTTCGGAGCTCTGGCTGATCAGGGTGAATAGTCGATAATAGAATCTAGGCGATGACGAGCTCTCGCGATTCAGCGAGATCTCTTCTCGTCATTGTTGATGGTCGTGGCTGCCTGCGGGAGTTTCGTCCTTCGGGCATTCCATCTCTTGCTTGGAATCTCGAATGAAAATCCCTTCACGTCCTTCTGCGACGAGCTTTCCCCCGCAAGGTTCCTTTCCTCCCTTTGCCTTACCTATGCACAGTCAGACTCACACGCGAGCAGTCCTAGATATTTCACAGATTCGTTTAGCCGTCAACGGCACACATCTCAAATGGCCGTGGGCTGTTTGTTTTATAGTGAAGGATGCGATGGTGGCGGGGACGGAGTCGGGCCAAGATCCGAACGGACCGTTTGGCTCGTCGAGTGAAGGCATCAGAGACGACGTTGCGCCGCCGCCCGCCCGTCCGACGGAGGAAACGGAGTCGGATATTTAAAATGACAGAGAGGAGACGACGCGAAGGGAAAAGGAAAACTCCAGGCGTTTTGCCAACTTTTTCTCAAACGACACCAGGTGGTGGCCAGGGCTGGCAACTTGCCTGCCCGCCCGACTGGATGACGATAGCTGGTAGGGTGTCTGACGAGCTGTGAGCGACGTAAACACAACTCTCGTCGGTACCCATTCCTGCGTCGTCGTCGTCGTCGTCTCGAAGTGGAGGGAAGAGAAGGAGGAAAAAAACAGGAGTTTTGCTCCGCCGTCGTTCGATAAGCATCTTGATGGGCTTCTATCGATGCCGGCGATCTTTGGTGCAGGCTTCTCGTCCATCGTCCGCCCCAAAGAACGAACGAACGACCGACAGTCCTGCTCCCTTGTCCGCCAGCCGGTCCTCAGTTCCTTCTAAAAGTTTTCTCCCATCTGTAAGACCTTGTTCCTACCTCCCGGAGGCGCACTTCTGCCGCAGGCCGGGGAAAGGTCGCCGATTCCGGAAAACGATGCCATGGAAACGACGGAGGTTACCGAGATGCGAAACAAAAAAAGAGCACTCGCTTTGATAGAGGCAGCGGAGAGACAGAGGTCTGACGGAGATTGGCGAAAGCCGATCGCGGATTCTCCCGAAAGCGGGGTATGAGAGGGGTCTCGATAGCACGAGCCGAACCTCGAAGAGGCAAATTTAGGCGAGTCGAGTGGCAGCAGAAACATGCAAATAAGCCTTTCGGAGAAATAAACAAGAAAACTCGCATTTCGAGAGAAACAGATCCCGATTAGAGAATTCATGTTGGAGGAACGAGCCCCGAGACGAGAGAGTGCACCGACGTCAGGGAGACAGAGGGGGTAGGGGGATGCAGAAGGAGGCAGGGTCGAGTTGAAAGAGCGGATGTCGAAGTCGGGGGCTTTGTATCAGAAAATGAAGAAAAGAGATCGAACGGAATGATACAGGGACAGGAACCCTCCAGAAAATGGCGAGCACCACGAGAAAGCCATGCAGGAGATAGCACGGGTGCAGGGTCGGCGAACCGGGGCGGAAAATCGTCAGACGGGGGCTCAAGGAGATCCACCGAACATGGTCATCACCGAGAAGGAAGTTCCAAGAGCTCGGGGTAGACGATTTCCCGCTCATCCGATCTGAGCACAAGTATTTGAAACCTTTCGGTGATCTCGACTTGGCCTCATGGAACGAGCCCGTGCTTATCGATTGATATTCCCGCCCTGTCTTATCGAAGGAGTTCCCCGCACGGAATGGTTTCTTGACCATGGGAGATTCGATTGCATCAGAATTCCGGGTAAGGGTGAGGCTCATTGATACCGCTCCGCTGCCGTCAGCTGAGCGTATTTCTTGTGCCGGGAAAAGAGCGATGGGAAGGGATGAGCGGAAGATTGGACAGGTGGCGCGTAAACTCGATTCGCAACTACGGATGCTGCTAACTCTGGTTTTCGGAAACCATTATCACGCGGAAGTTTCCGGATGAGGAATGGACCGGCAACAGTGCGGCGATGTCTTCCAACACCCACGTCTCCAGAGAAGAGATTTCTTCTCAGAGATATGATTAGCTCGCACGCATCTCGCGATTCTATTTTTGAACGGGCTCCCTCGCATCGTCAGCCCGATCCGAGCTCCGACGCGCGTTCCGTACGCCAGAACCATCCGGAAATTTTTTGAGCGATACGAGAATTAATTTTTTCCCTCAACAACGAACTCGTGAGTCCGAGCAGAGCGTCATGGGGAAGTTGACGATTTGATCGGAAAATCCGGCTCTGGAATATCGGTTACATTGAGAAGCCTCCGTCCGGCTCTGAAAGTAACTCAACTCAAGATATAGTACCCTTGAGATTTCAAGAAGACGGAGCTGTGAGACTTAGTGTCTGAGTGAGTTTCGTCTACTGGTCGATTGAAGTCTCCGGTTTCCCGAAGCGAACTTTTGGAGCGTACGAGCCCTGGGCGAGCCTCGGGGGCCGCGGCCTCAGCGTCGCAGCGGTACGGTGATCGGTGGAGCATTTCAAGGCTGGGTCCCGGAAAGGAACCTACTCGTCATCTCGATCAAATAGTGCTCATTGACAGTTTGTCATTTCAAAGAAAGCGTTTTTTAAGCGAAAGCGTTCGTGATGTCTTGAGTACGTCTCTTATTTCTCCCACCGTCCTCGGCTCGATGCCATTCGGCACGATCGCTACGGTCCCACAAGGTTCCCTAGGCAATAACAAGTCGAAAGTCCTTCTGATTTGAAAAGATGCGAAAAACGTTCGGAGGCGACCGCGACGCCGGTCGGAGGGGAAAGAGACGGCAGGATGATGAATCAAAATTGTTGCCGAAAAATCAGTCGGCCAACCTGGCAGATTATCGTGGACCGCGCAAGAGAGCAAGGGAACGAGTCCAGGAAACTTGGGAGTCGATGCTCTCGAAGCGGCATTCAAGACGGTTCCGGTGAATCATGCAAACCGATAGACTGGAGTCTGAAACCCGGGATGTGTAGCTCACGATTCGTGAATATTCGAGACTGAAAAATCAAATCAGGCTCCGCCGATTGGCGAGCGTGAGATCTCAGCGGCTCGGGGTCGCCCGCCTCGGAGCAGGATATAACGAGAAAATTGGAAACGAGGGGAAGGAGATATGACTCGACTTGGGATGAGGTCTGACTTCACCGATTCTTGGCTGCCCGGGGCGACGATTTCCGAATCTGACCTCCCCGGAGTGCGATACTACTGACATTCGTCGACGGAAAACCTGACTGGCTTACCCGCTCTCCGGGGAAAAGTCTGTCGGGATTCGTCTGACCGAGGCTCGCACGGAAGGACTGACATCGACTCGAGGATCGACTGTCCGGCTGTCGGGAGGGAGACTTCCTCCGCGATGCTCGACAGCCCTCAAAAGATGGGGCATGTAAATCGAGTGAGGAGTGTTGTAGCGAAAGATCGGAGAGGGAGAGATTTCTCTGAGCGGCTGGACGATCGTGCAGACTCCGAAGCAGAGCGATTCGCAGGAAAAATCACTACCACATCGTAGATAAATTGCACATTCCACCGCGGAGAACGAGACTCGGGACGAGGGTAGCGGTAGCCCAAGGCCAAGCAAGCCGGCATTGAAACGAACTTCTGATAGAGGGAGCGGTCGAATGAGCGGAACGAGTATCCACCGCTAAACGGCAACAAGAGAGAGGTTGGAGCGCCGAGCGCCCAAGGGCGTCCCGGAGCATCGAAGGCTTACCCTGATCTCAAGTCGACGCGGTGGCTGCCCATATCGGAGTAGAACAACGCCGAAGAGAGCAGGGCGAGTTAAGGAGGGTGGAAACGAAATGCACCCACGCCAATCTTAATTACCCGATCTTCTCGACCCCGAATCTCAGAGAGAGTTCAAGAAAAACGAATTCTGGACCCTTTCACCGAGAACTCCGGAAGATGCGAGGGACTGATATCCCGGAAATTCCGGGGGTTCGCCCCGGGAGGAGTCTCGAGCCTTCAGAGAGAAAGAGAAAAATGCCACCTAGATCTGTTCCCCGAAATAGCGCGCGCATTTATCATCCGAATCGTTCGCTTATGTTGGCGACGAGGAACAGGGGAAGCAGAACGGGATACTCGTGCTCTGAGTTGATAGATCGAAGTCAAGTACATCGGTAATCGATGTTCCACGGGGCGAAAAATAAGTTCGGGAGCCTTTCCGTCACCTGCGTCATCGCCAGGGATGAAATTGACACATTCACAACAATTAGTCTCACGAATGCGATGACGGATCGGCGAGAAATTCTTCCCGGAATACCAGAGATAGCTCCTCATTACTTCTCATTACAGATTATTTGTCCTCGGAGCGATGCCTCACCTGTTCTCGAGAGCACACCATCCGCAGTAAGGATTCTTCGCCGAAATGCATTCGTTACACTTGGAATGCTTGACGCAGTCCGACAGTACGACCTTGAAGACCTGAAAAGACGATTCGATTGCTTTTAGATTAAATGTGTTCTGAGGGCGAGATACTGTCACAGCTGTGAGCAATACGACGGTCTTGACGGTCGCTCGGATCGGCGGAAGCTGAGCCAAGGATCGAATCCAAATTTGACTTCCAGCGAATTATTCGATCAGCAGACATCCGCGTATAGTACATAGATTCAGTTCCGATAATAATACGTGCGTAGCAAAGGAGCTCATGTTCTTTTCGTCGCAAACTCCAAAACTGATGACGTTACTCGTGCCGGTTCGGTCGAGTTTCGATTCTCTCGGGCACACCGGTCACTTCGGGGACTCCTTGCGCTCATCCAATCGCTTATCGATCAAGCGGAAGCCAAGTTAATGAAACGGAACTTTCGAATGGATTCAGCGATGAGTTATGTTCCTTGCCCTCGCGCAGCACTTCTCCGACCATTCATGGTCACGATCCGAGCGAGCTACGTTCGAGACAAAAATACGTTCGAGGAACGGTCTCCGCGTGACTGTTTGCGGGAACTTAGGCCAGGATATCGTAATTGAAACCTTGGGGCAGCTCAGCGAGGGCGACCGAGTTTCTGGTGCCGTGTACGAGTTTAAGCTTTCAAACTTTGTCGACAAGATCTCCCGCCTCCAAGACTTCCAGAAAAAGTCCTTGGAAACTCCGGGGAGTTTACACATCTGAAACGACAGCAGACATGGGAGCGAGGAGGATGGGTCGGGATTAGAGATCCGGCTTCGAAACGAGCCGTTCATGCGAAGTTTCTTCGCTTGTTGTTTGTTCTCGAGAGTACGTTCGTCAGAGGCCTCGCGTCCCTGCTGCTGCGCTCGATGTAATTCGTCGCCCCGACTTCATCTCGACCTGTACCGTTTCTGGATCTCGCGCTCCGGGCCGAGTGCGCTAGACAGATGGAGCCGACTCCGAACTAGAGACAAATGTCTCGGACGCTTAAAAGTAGGTAATCTTCGTTCTCGACCCACTGGGGAGGGGCGCGAACATCCAGTGGCTTCCGTCTCCCCCGTCCAACCCCGCGAGAACGAGACTCGACGAACAAGCAGGAAAGCTACAGAGTCGAACCGGCCCGCCCGCCGGCAACTCGGCCTTCGTTGTCGTCGCAGGCAGCCGCGTTCGTAAAAGCAGCCAATAAACTCCTGAGAGGACGAACTACCACCACTGACTCGCCGTGCCGACTTTTATAGCCACTCGCCAGGCAAGCAGGAAACTTGGAATTCACTTCTCGGGAATTTAGTCGGCGGTGCGGCCCAAGTCCCTGACGGGGGTCGGAGCCACGGACGACGACGAGACGTTGCGAGCGAGGAGGCGATAGGAGCCGACGACGGCGGGAAGCAAAAGAGATAGGATAGTGGGGGGGGGACAGCCGCGAAATTGGTCAATAAATGCACAAGATGGCGCCGCCAAAGGGATGAGTGACATCGTGGTCTGCATACTGACGGCTCAACGCTGCTTGCCGGCTGCAGAAACGCATGCTGCTAGAACAACCGATGCCAGTCACTCGTTCATCCATAAAACAAGCCCGCTTATTCGTCGACGTTGCTCGTCCCCGCTACCGATGCTGTTGCCTGCGAGCGGCTTTGATAAGAAAGTTCGCGCATGCAGTAGATCCGGATCGACGGAACTGTCGTTCGTCGTAACTTCCCACCGCTTGGACTTGTTCCGCACCAGAGCCCAGAATCCGGTGTTCGTTCGAGAAAACAATCATCGAGGAAAAATAAAAAACTCTGACGATACCTTGTTCAGGGAGGCGACGATGACGTAGTTGTCTGGAACGCTGTCTTGAACGTAAATCTGTGGGACGATCCTCACGCCCCGATCTAGTAGTGTTGAATCGAACACGTGTGCCTGATGACGACCCTCCACGAGGATTTTCTGAAACACCCCTGACGCCGTTCCGACGAATAGAACGTTATGACCCTCTACGAGGGTAGCTCCAAGACTCGTGATGGTTTCTCCTGCAATGGAATTATTCTCCGTTCGAGTATCGGATGTTTCATCATCGTTGTTCTCCAATGGCCGGACTTTTCATCCGGAGGGGGGGGGGGCGATTGTTCTCAATCGACCAAAAGTTCTCCGTGCCAGTTCCACGTGTAGAGGGATGGGGGGAAGCCGGATTCGTCATGAAGACGCTCTCGTTGAGTTTGTTCCCGTCTTCGAAATGTCATCCGTTGAATCGGATGGAGTCGCAAGGCATGCGAACGTTGACAGCTCGATTCGATTTGTTCGGAGTAAAATATTAAGCAGGGCTTTTCTGTCTCTCGGCCTTCCGATCACACGACAATCGGTGATAGCACGAATACTATGGGGCCAGCGGCGACGAACGAAATCGATCGGATTCTGTTCCGGAGACGTCGTGACTTAGATCCTTGATTAATGCGGGTTCGAAGCCAACATCCGAATGAATACGAGCTCTCTTCGCAACGTATTCAACAACGAGCAGTTAATACTTAAATACGGGGGACGTCTGCGGTTCCCATTGAGCAGTAATTCGATCGCTGGCAATTGAATCACGGCGCCGTCGGAGCAGCCTTTGCTATCAAAGAGAATTAGGCTCTCATAATCAAGCGATCGTCGCCGTCGTCGGAATTCGAGCCAAAAGAGAGATGGAATCTGGAGTCCTTCAGATGGTGGCGGTTTCCGCGACCGGGATCATCATTCATCTGAGCTCGACGGAAAAGACACTCACCTCTCACGTGCGCGAAGGGTTTGGTTCTAATCGGGAGCGAGCCATTCAGCTTGACTGTCTCGCGGCAGAAGTTCACCACGTTACCCGAACCTCCGAGCTCGGGGCACTCGTTGACGCTTCCGGCGATGTAATGCATATTACGGGTGAGCGTCGAGCCGTTGTAGCACATGTGTATGTTTTGTTGGAAGCGACGCTCGATTTCCACCAGAGGAAAGAGACAAATGGCCGATTTCCGCGATTCCTACGAGGGAAAAAGAGCAAGTTACTGAAAAGCTCCGCTAGCCAAGGCAGGCTGGAAGCATTGTAGAATTTTCCTCGCTACCGCTAATTGAAATCGGCTCAGAGGAAGTTCCTTGGAGTTGTCGCTGCGCCTCCAGGTGTAGGCCGGGTTCTCACCTTGAGATGATGGCCGTCCGATTGCACGAAGGCTCCGACGAAGATCTTTGAATCCCGAGGGTTGAGTCGGAACTCGTTGAGCAACGCCTTTCCCGCGTCAACCACGGTGGCATCACGCAATAGGTTGTAGTGGGTACCGTCTGGATCGACGCATTCCAGGCTGACTTCAACGTATGTATTGTAGGCCGGATCGGAGACGCAAACACGGGCCAGTCTGTCGAGAACGTATTACTTCAGCTCAGTTATCTATTAGTTTGAGTTCACAAATACTTCGCTCACTGCTACGCCGTGTAGCTTTTCCTCAGATTCAGATCAGCTACTATAGTTGGTATAACGACGCGATAGCGCGGTGTTCGAGAAGCGCGACGCATTCATTTAGCTCTGGCCGAGTACCCAATGATTCGGAGGTTTCAGGAGAGAAATTCATAGGACTCCCTCGCCGACTCCGCGACGAAAACTCGTTGGGTTTGTGGCAGGCCATCTGTACACGGACCTTGCCATTCCCATCGATGCATCACTCGTCGAACAACGAGCGTTGCTGCCGCAGACATCCAGAGAAACTCAAATCGAAGACGTCGCGTTACGGCGGAAGTCTTCCCGACGCTCGCGCCTGGGGTTGGTTGGCCGGTCTGTCTGTCTGTCTGTCCGTCCGTCGGAAGCTCGTTTGCTTTGATGATTTTGAGATAATTTTGCGAAATTTGAATTTCAGATTTGAGTCAGCGAGCAGCGCAGTTGCCTGGTTGGCTTGCTTGCCCGTTCGCTCGCTCGCAGGCTGGTTGGGGTTAGTCGCCCGAGTAGATCGTGGCTGCACGATGCAATCTTCTGCGATGGCTCTCGTGGCAGCTACTAGCCGAGTCGAAGACTTGTGCGAAATTAATTCTGAATACATAAACAAAGCGACTGAGCAAGGCATCGCGAGAGCAGCCCTTACTCCCTCGACACATAGCTGAATGCTTTCGCCGCTTGCCCGGAAATTAGGAGGTCTGCGATGGCATGATCGTCCGTCATCGTGAGCACATAAGAGATATGCACCGCCGACATCACCTGAGCTATGCGGTTTCGCGTCGTATTCACAGCCTCTAGTATCCGTTCCGGGTTTTGACGGACTGTGATTTGCAATTCTCGATTGCATTGAGTCTGCGGGCTCTAGATTGGCAATCTGATAATAGGACCTCTCAAAGTGTTCATGGTATCGAGCAGTCTCCGAGCCGAGAATTTTTATGGCGAAACGGGCTCCTCATTTTCAATAATGCGACCCATTCCGAAATCCTGATGCATAATAATTCGAGCGACTCACTAGTTCAATGAAGTGAATGGGCCCCGTCATGAAGAACGGAATCACTTCGTGGGTAGATCTCATTCGCTTCGATCCGACCAACCTAGCTAACTCGGATGGAAAACAGGACGCGCTCGGGAGCGCCGTTGTTTTTCGCGAAACTTCATAGAGCTTGTAAATAATTTCATTAGCTTGATGAAGCAAGCGACTCTGTGAGTGGACCTTGTTCAGAGTCGAGTCATTCCCCTTGCGATGTGGCCCTGATTCTGCGCTGTCTGGCGATAGGATTTCATAAACGAATTAGATTGAGGACGCCTCTCGAAAGCAGGCTTGCGAATCTGTCCTATTTCGACGTTATTCGCTCGCTCGCAATAAAATGGTTCTGTACTCTCGGGATGGTAAATCACTGGAACTTCCACGGCCTAATCAGTGAAGAGTTCTCTACATGCAGGGACAGATAGCGCAGATTGAGGAGGCCGGCGCAGATTCTTAGTGGAGGGGGGTATCCTGAGGAGCGGATATTCGACACAGACTCTGGAATTCTATGAGTGGGCGAGCGCTGGGAAGATGGCGTAGGCTCTCAGTCCAGGTCTAGGTCCTAGAACCTATCCCCGGATAGCATTCGGAGAGATCCGTCGGATGATTGAAGGCCCGTGTCGATAGATTTCACAGCCCAGCCGTCTCGGGACTCGTATATCATAGTCGAGGCGACTCGGGAACCACGAATGAGAATTTCGGACGAGCTCACTTGTTCGGCAGACTCGATCCCCGAGGCGATTCCGATCGATTCTCCCGATAGGAGTCGATCAAAAGGAGTCGACACGATCGTTTCATTCGGACCGCGACGTTTGATTCCCGGACCTTAATTTATAATTGTCTGCAACTGCATTTAGCCACGCCTTCTGCTCGACGCATGGAACTTACCGAGACTCGTATCCCCACTCCTGATTGGCGAGCAGATAACTTTTCCGTTGGATCAGGGCAAAGTACGCGAAGTCGTGATGGTAGAATCCGTACACATAGTGCACCAGGAAGGCGTCCCGCAAGTTCACCGAGATGTCCACCCGCGCAGTCTCGGAGAAAGAATGCTCGATAACAGTGAACAGACCGTTATCGTTATCTTGGAGATTCCTTGAACAAATGGCAGGAACCATGTCCCGGTAGGGACCGCTCCGGGTGTTCGTCGCGGCCACGTACAAAACATCTTGGCTCTCTCGGTCTATGTCGTACCTGTTTTGGAGAAGAAAACGTGCCTGTTAGTGTCGATGCGGATATTCGCGAAGTCTCGGCGGGATAGGGTTCGTCACACGCTTAGACTGGCTGAAAATGGATCGTACGACCCTTCGTTCATTCTCCTCTGAGTTGTCATTTGCCTTCGGAAGCCTGGGGAAACGAGCGGCTCTTCGCATTCCTAAATCCATGTGTCCCACTATAAAGGGTTCCTCCTTCCCTGCCCCATCGAGCCGAGCCGAGCAACAGCGAACTGATGCGCTCCTCGAAAGTACCACCAGGGCGCGGTAGCCCAGGCCTCGTACCCCTCCAGGTGTCCGTTGATAGTTCCACCGATAAGAATTGAGTAGGTTCAAATATTTCGACCCGTTAGGAAAGCTCTTTTCAAACATTCTCTCCCCGAGTTGTCTCTTCGAAGGGTTTTGCAGAAACATTTCATGCTCGGTCAGAGCGCAGAAGAGCACGGTGAAAAATGGAGCCAGAATCTCTCAAGACGGAAGCGGAGCTGGTCCGGGACCGACGAGGTCAGAAGAGCTCTCAAACCCAGCCTGCCACACACGCTTTCGCCCCGGTCCAGATTCCCTCGTTCTTCTGTCAGCTATCAATTGTATCGGAAGCGGAATGATAATTCTCTGATTTTTCCAATTTCGACACGGGGAAGCCTCTGTCAGGAGATCGATGCTAAGCGGAGCCGAATAGCGGGAAAGCTTCGGTGATCGATGCGAAACTTCAGCGACCGTCCCGCGCGAGTCAAGAAGTGAGAGAAAAATTATTAATGAACGGAGATAAAATATCCGCCTTGCTTCCCTCGTCTTGACGAATGTTCCAATGACCGCGGTTCCGCCGCTACTGTGCGTCTTCACGACCGATTCTCAGGACGCGGTTCGACCTTTCCAAGAAAGCTCCTAGCGGGGTGACGTCTACTCATAGCCGTTTCAAAACTGCCAACTCGGCTACTGCTGTAGAAATATAAGGAGACTTTTCAATTTCGACGCCGCCATTTCTCTTTCAATCCCGAACCTAAAGACCCCTGGAGACGCTGACTGTTTCACCAGGCGGCCTCCTCTCGGAGCTCAGCGGGTCGTCCAGCCGGCTGTCGGTGGGTTTCCACGTGACGGTGGAAATTTCATTGAGACGATGTGATCCCGACGGTCGCACGGAGGGAGAGATTTGAAGAATTCAGATGGGAATGGATCGCCTCCGAAGCGTGCCATGGGACCCACGCAGAGGTCTACGAGTGCCAAGAGCGAAAGAAAGAGGAGTTCGTATGAGGTGTTGGCGGTCGGAGTGAAGTGGGAACTATTTGTTGTGAGTGAGCCGTAAACGTATATTTTCCTCCTGCTGCTGCTGACGAAAAGATGGGATCGGATTGCTCGTATATCCAGCCGAGCTCCGGGACGGACTCCTGCCGAAGTCCGACAATGACCGGCGTCCACTCGCCGCGCCGACCAAATGATCATAATATCGACTTTACGACGTGTTGTTCTGCGTTATAGCGAGGCTCATAACCGCCGAGTTAGTCGCAGTCGAACATGAAAGCATCAAATAACCTCAGCTTGTCCCGTCGTGCTGCCCTTGTCGAAAGCCGAAAAGCGTCTCTAGTCTCCACCCCGAGAAGCGGGAACGCTTTTTCATCGCAACCGAAATACGGAGACGTCGGCTTTCGGGTAAGCCATCGGGACACCTCAATGTCGGGCTGGCGGGAATGGAGCAACTACAGGACATTCTCCCAAGACGTTGAATTCAGCAATCGGCGAAGACGGTGTACGTACATAACGTAGTGGTGTTCTTGCCGAGAGCCCGGCTCGCGACCCCTTGTCTTTCTGTCTCGTCTATTGTGGACATCCACTCGCCCGATAGTGTTTGTCCGCCCGCGGTCTCGAAGGGGCCACCACGGCTCGTCCGGCCAACAGGCGTGACTGAGGACTAGCACCTAGGGATTTACGATAGGAGGATGGACCGTATTCTCAGTACCGAAACCGGGTTAGCCAACCGGATGGTTTGCCGCCGGCTGAAAGACTCGAACGTTCGATAGGACCCCCGATGACTGCGACGACTTTGGTCAGCACATCGAGTCACCAGCGCTTTCCCAGATTGGAGGAGGAGGACGCGTCTCGTCACTAAGACGGCGACTCAATGAAGGGTCACGGACTATTCAGTCACGAGCATATCCCCTCGGTCGGTCTTTACTCCGGGTTGATCAGAAGGCAGCACAGCCCCCCGAGCAACGGCACAGCGAATGACGGCGCCGGCGTTCTTGAGACGACGCGCGACGCCGCTACGCCTCGAGCTCAAAAATGAGCGGAAATAATCGGAGCCTGGCCGACTCTCGAGAACCATCCGATCGAATAACAACGTCATTGAGGAATGTTGGATCAATTTCCTAAATTGGACAAGCTGGAGATCTTCTCGCTAACAATGAGCCATACCGCCGAATAACGAGTAATTCCGTCAGGCAGACAGGTAGGTGGTTGGCAAATTGTGGCTGCGGGAGAGCGCACCCTTCCCGCATTCTCCCGCACTCTCATCGGATGTGTCCCGTAGAGCGAATTCTCTCGGGGAAAAGGAAAACCTTCCTTTCATAAGACCAGGAGGAGCACTCAGCCCTCAAAGTGTTGGAATATCTGCCAACAGAGTGGAGAGGTAAGCGAGCAGGCGCAGTTTCGCTCACTCACTCATCCGTCGGCTCACTCGCTCGCTCGCTAAAGAGTAAAAAGTGAGCGAGTAAGGAGCTCAGACAGTAGCTCCGACAGTCGAAGCGAGTCAAGTCAAGCCGAGCTGTAGTAGAAGAAAGGTTATAAATTTCAGAATCGTCGTCTCCGAAAGGGTCTACCAGTCACTTGGGCTGAGGGGCATTGGGGTTGGGTGGAGGGCAGCGAGGCTGTCTCTCGCTCCGTCAGCCGGAGGGGTTTCAGCACGACAGTCGGCGGCGCATCGGGGAAATAAGAGATTGTGCACTCTCCGAGTAAAGCTGGATAATGTGGATTCGAATCGATCGCGATCCTAAGCTCACCTTGCGGGACCGATGAAAGCGATGGTAGAAGAGTTTTCGTCGTTTGCCGCCAGCGGTACCTCGACGACGGGCTCCTCTTTGGTGATGTCGTTCAGTTCGTGCCGTCGACACGATCCCTGACGGACGCTACCGCATTGGATTAGTTTCTGGGCGTTCTGATCGATGAGAAGCAATTTGTTGAAATTATTCAGCAGTCGAGTATCGGTCGCCTGACATTCAGACTCTGATGGAGAGCAGTAGCGACTGTCGTTCACCGGGCCCGTCATCACCGACGCCTCGACGAATAAACTGGCGTTCAGTTGATAGACCCAGTTGACAGCTCCGACGTACACTCGGCCACTATGTCTATCCACGACCACGTGAGAGATGTTCACCGATTTGTCATGAACTGAAAAGTGACCGAGCACGGTGTTTCCGAGGGGATTCAACGGCGATCCATGATGCAGAGAGAACTGGGGTCGTTCCATGGGCACTCCACCTGCGGCCATTAGCCACAGGCTCAGGAGCAGCGCCAACGACAGCGGAGGGATCCGGGGCCGTCTCATCGTGACCTTCTCGAGCTCCTCTTTTCAGAGGCGTACGGTGTCAGCATCTGGAAAGAAAAATTTCCTCTCTTTTAGAAAACGTGGAGGAGAGGAATGAATGGAACAAGGATGCCCTCTAGGACGATCCGTGGTCCAGAAATCGCCCACGGAAGAATCAATCGCTCATTCTCGCGAAGAGCGGCCGCTTTTCCCGACCCGAGAGGGCGCGGGGTTTTTTTCGTTCCCCTCATACACCGTCTCGGACTCCCGCGGCTTTGACTGGGAAAATTCTCTGAGACCGATTCCAAGAACATCGCCGCGGGAGGGAACAATCGGACGCTTTGACTCGGGATGTGAATAGATGGATAAGAGCCCGGAGAAGAACGCTCGAACAAGCGTTGAATCTGGGAAAAGCGTGAGAGGCAGCGACAGACTGCCATGGCCCGAGCACGCAGACCGGCAACAGGAATTGCTGCGAGGGACACTTAACCCTTCTACTCGTTCATGTCGTCGCAAATAGCCCAAGGCCACGCACTTCCACAACGCGCCGTGAGCGGCGACGCGCACTTCCACGACAGCGGAAACGATATAGCCGGAGTGCGGAAGGAAATTGCCATGAAATCTGCCCTCGCGCCGCTCCTGCTACGAGTCGCGCATTTCGAAGCCTCTTCTGATGGGTGTGACGGCGGACGTCATATCGCGAATCGTCGTCTTTCTGCCGTTGTCGTTGCGCAGCGGAACATTCATCGGAGCGGGAAGGCAAATACACGCGCATCCGATGTTTCCGACATTTACACAAGGATCTCTCGCCGTGATTTCGTAACTTGCGCGTTCGTGAGAGTCGCCTTAGCGACCCGCCGAACACCTCGATTCGGATTCCACTGCAGATGACAGCCTCACTCCCAGCTCGAGACGCAAAGGGTCGAATATTTGAATTTCAATCGAACGAATTGGATTATCATGCCGCCCCGTGGGCCTGAGAAGTCTCTCCATCTTCTGCTGTTTCACTTTCGAGGGCGCCCGTCGCATCCAGATAACGCGAAGCTTCAACGACGATTCAGATCTGAATGATTACCGTCTCGTGGCTAGAGAGAGGAATAAGAAGGAATACGGACGAGTTGGACAGAATGAGTCGTCAGCGGCCGGCGCGGCGCCTGCAACTAACAAGAGGCAGAATGGCTACAGAGAGGCTGCGGACGTCTGAAGTGCCGTCGTTTCCTGCGGTAGGAGCCAAACGAAAGCCATAAACTTTCGCTACGGACCTACGTTTGATTGGCGGCTTGTTGTCGGCTCGTTTCCCGACCAGCCGATCAGACCATTCTCTCCGTCGACACTCACGCTCTTGTCACCGCTCTCCGTTGGCAACGCAGCGGTATCTCGTAAATTTTGTCGCTTATCTCGACAAGCCGACGCGGGATCGGCGCTCGAGGAATGGATTTGTTTCCATTCCTCGCTCAGGAGCATCCATTTCAATCGGATATTTTGAGGGAATTGGAGGATTCCTTCGTTACCTACGGCAAACGAACATCAACTCTTCCCGAGAGCATTTCTACCTCCTTGCTCTTGGATAATTCACTTTGCACGCTTGATTTATGCAAATGCAGTGGTCCCAGAGCATATGTATATATGCAACGATTATGATGAAGAATTCACAACTCGTACGCATTCTACAGCCGAGCTCACAACAAGAGCCTCAACGGAGAGCTGATCCCACGATTCATTCCCTGTGACCAACTCGTGGTTCCGTCCTGCGATGGCTCTTTGGAATACGCCGTCGGATCACATGTTGTTTTTTGCGCGCGCAGAATGCCCCGCTAACAGACTCATCTCTGAATTTCTAACCCCCTGCTCGAAGGATTTGGGTACAATAGTAGAGCAATTACACGAATTATTATATGGACTCTGTTTCGGCGGACCACCGAACCGCTCAAAGGTAGCTCTGACAGGAAAGCGATTTTGATAGGCGAAAGGCGGAAACCAGCAGGAAGTAATATCCTTGCCACACTTCTCTCCTTTGGTCACAACACAACGGATATTAAAACGTTCGCCGGTCTCTTTTTTCGGTGGCTGTGTGATAGTGTTATGATTTGCCACCTCCCCCTCCTCCAGCTTTTATCGACGCAAATTCGACGTCCCGTGTTACAGTGGTACCATGACATTAATGAACTTTTTTTCTCCCAAAACGGAACTTGTGATATTCCATACAGGCTGCTGCGGACCCACCCTTCACCTCCGTCAATGTGGCCTCCGGCTATAGCAAAGATTTTCGGTCAAAGAAATCACAAGGTCTTAAACTATACCGAGCACACACATACATCTTCCGAATGGCGGAGTCTCATTGAACTTTCCGACTGGTTTCGGCAAAGAACCTAGATTCCGAAGTCTTCCATTTCCCGCGGAGCAAGCCCCAATAGCTACTAAGCTCTGTCGACTGTTTGAAGCATGAATATGCTTCGCTGCATTCTCGGATACGTCGGCTGGCATCTAATGGGGAAGCCGGCGGGACGACGTCCCGGGCGCCCGGTAGAACAGGTCGCAGCCTCCTCGGTCGCGCAGACGCTGGTGGTCGATTGGCACTCAATTGGGCCGTCGAGCAAACTGTCGACGATCGAGGCGGGCCAAGCAAAGTGTCTGCTAATCAGATTAAGGCTCCTGAGAGCGCCGGAGGATCTCCAACAGCACAAGGGACCCTCATAGCAGGCAGCAAGCGAGTGCTCCTGAGGAGACCATGCAAGAAGACAGGGCATAACAACGCCAGATTCTGTCCTCAGGAAGGGCAGAATGCGAAGGAGCTCGCTGGGAACGCGGCGAACGACGCAAGAGAGCAAACTGAGCGCATACCGTCGTCTCCGCGTCAGTGAGCAGCGATTGCAGGCCCCCGATGGGGCTTTCCGGAAGAATACGTCGTCGAGCTCTGAGAATTCCGACTAGGATTCATAGGCCAGAGGCTTTTTTGTGAACATCTCTCTTTGTTCCCCTCGCGAGATGTCTCCACGCCGGAAAGTCCCGCCGAGGCTCGCCGTGCGGCGCTCTCTCGGTAGGCCCGTAATTGCGGCGACGAGAATGACGACGGCGAGCACTGGCAAGATAACTCGGCGCTCGCTTCTCTGTCCCTCCATGCGCGCGGATAGAAATTGCAGCCTGACACGAGACACCAGTGCCCGGAGCGTTTCCCTCCCCCTCCACCTTGCGAGATGATGGTCCCTCGCTTTCCGTCACCAAATTCTCGCTAAGGTCGCACCGATCGCGACATAGCATTCGATTCCTCCAGTCGATTTCTTCACGACTCAGACAGACTCGAACGAGGCCAGACCCGACTTGGATTCCAAGCTCTTCTGTCAGACGATAGGATCTCGGCGCTCGATGATTCGGCCGCTGTTGGAAAGCGCGAGCGATTCCCTGGGAGATGCGAAGCTTTGTTCGGTGTATTACGTCAGGCAGACTGCCTCTTTCGAAATTTCGACGTATGGAGTCAGAGCTTGAATAGAGCTGAAGCAACTTTGCCTCGAAGCGACCGCCCAGAAGCGTCCCTATCGGACTTTTGCCCGGGCTCTGGTGAGCGACAGCTGCTCGCGAGATTTGTTAGATCTTCGTTGGTCTGACTAAGCAAAAGCATTATTAATATGATTGATTTTTTCCCATCGAGGAATTCAGCCCTCCTCGCGTTGGAGCTCCTGATGAAGCTCGAGATTTCCAACTTTAAATCGGGGCAAGCTGCTGCGCTATGGGGAAATTCCTCGGAACGGCGCCGTATTTCTAAAGCGGAGCGAACCTCGGATGCGGCTGATGCTAAGCGAACAGATAGGCATATAAAAACGGATGGATTTTTAATTTATTCCTCAGCCGGAGTTCCAGCTAATTGGACGACGATGGTCTCGTTTTGAAGACAACGAGGAACGGACGAGCCCGAAACGAACAACGAGGAGCTATACCAACGGAGAGACCTGTTGCAAGAAAGCAAAAAGTTCCGGCTGAGGTTGAGTGCAGTTTAATCAATCCAAGTTTTTACCGACGTCGTGAAACTTCAGAGAACACTCGTCTCGCTCCGCCTGAGGAGGGGTCTCCCGGATTCGAGTGACCGCGAGATCAAATTGTCGTCTCGCGACCAACGCTCGTGTCGACCACAAAGTGACGCGCGCTGGGTGTTTTCGGCGAGGTGGGCTCGGTATCCTCGAAGTGTCGTCTTCTTTTCCTCCTCACATTCCCGAATCCCCGGCCGGACAACGGTAGGCTGCGATGCGGGTGACCCCTACGGTAGAATACGATACGAGGACAACTCATGCACGGGGTTATCGCGTTTCCGGCGCCTACGGAACAGCGGCGGCCCGTTTTTCCGGTCATCTCTGTCCGCAGAAGTTCGCAACCCACGCCCGCGTCCCTCACTCTCGCGTCTATCTGTCGCTCCGCATCTCCCCACGGGAATCGTGCGCGGTGGTGGGAAGGATCCCGTCTTGCGTTCGTCCCTGGATGAGGAGAATTTCAGGGTGCACAGACACCCTTCACCGGGGAGCGCTCGCTCGCCTCAGAAACAATAACCTCCAACCCCAGTCCCAAGACGTCACAGTCGGGTCGGCGAATGATTTCTCCTGAGAGCGGATGAGCGGCAGAAGACTTGCGGCGGGCACAACTGCGGCACAAGTGACCTCTTGGCCCGGCGGGGTTTCGCGCAAGATTCCTCGCAGGCTTCATCGCTCGCACAGCAATCTCGCCAAGCAAATCGGCTTGCGGCCACTGCCCGGAAAGATCCGAGAGTGTGAACAGAGCGGACAATAAACTATATCAATATCAATTCACAGCCATCATCATATATCACCACTCCCTCGCTCGACCGAGGCTTCCTTCCTCCCTAGCAGCTCCGAACACGCCGACTCCCCGCCCGCTCGGGAGTAGTGGTGGTCGAGAACACGAGTCATTTCGTCCCACCCAAAAGTCGACTACCTACCACCACCATTGCCGACCACCGAGACCATCAGCGATCAGCAACAACGAACTCGGGACAGAGGTGCGCTGATTCATAAGGT